AAAGAATTTTCAACCCAGAATTTCATATCCAGCCAAACTAAACTTCATAAGTGAAGGAGAAATAAAACCCTTTACAGACAAACAAATGCTGAGAGATTTTGTCACCACCAGGCCTGAATTACAAGAGCTCCTGAAAGAAGCACTAAATATGGAAAGAAATAACTGGTATGAGCCACTGCAAAAACATGCCAAATTGTAAAGACCATTGATGCTATGAAGAAACTGCATCAACTAATGGGCAGAATAACCAGGTAACCTCATAACGACAGGATCAAATTCACACATAACAATATTAACCTTAAATATAAATGGGCTAAATGCCCCAATTAAAAGACACAGACTGGCCAAGTGGATAAAGAATCAAGACCCATCAGTGTGCTGTATTCAGGAGACCCATCTCACATGCAAAGACACACATAGGCTCAAAATAAAGGGATGGAGGAATATGTGCCAAGCAAATGGAAAGCAAAAAAAGCAGGGGTTGCAATCGTAGTCTCTGATAAAACAGACTTTAAATCAACAAAGATCAAAAGAGACAAAGAAGGGCACTATGTAACAGTAAAGGCATCAATGCAACAAGAAGAGCTAAGAATCCTAAGTAAAGATACAACCAATACTGGAGCACCCAGATTCATAAAGCAAGTTATTAGAGACTTACAAAGAGACATTGACTCCCACACAATAGCAGTGGGAGGCTTAACACCACACTGTCAATATTAGATCAGCAAGACAGAAAATTAACAAGGATATCCAGGACTTGAACTCAGCCCTGGCTCGAGCGGACCTAATAGACATCTACAGAATTCTCCACATGATATCAGCAAAATACACATTTTTCTTAGCACCACATCACACTTATTCTAAAATTGACCACATAATTGGAAGTAAAACATTCCTCAGCAAATACAAAAGAACAAAAATAATAACAGTCTCTCAGACCACAGTGCAATCAAATTAGAACTCAGAATTAAGAAACTCACTCAAAACCGCACAACTACAAGGAAACTGAACAACCTGCTCCTGAATGACTACTGGGTAAATAATGAAATTAAGGCACAAATAAAGATGTTCTTTGAAACCAATAAGAACAAAGACACAACATACCAGAATCTCTGGGACACATTTAAAGCAGTATGTGGAGGGAAATTTATAGCACTAAAAGCCCACAAGAGAAAGCAGAAAAGATCTAAAATCAACACCTAAACATCACAATTATAAAAGAACTAGAGAAGCAGGAGCAAATAAATTCAAAAGCTAGCAGAAGACAAGAAATAACTAAGATCAGTGCAGAACTAAAGGGGACAGAGACACGAAAAACCCTTCAAAAAAATCAACGAATCCAGGAGCTGGTTTTTTGAAAAGATCAACAAAATAGACCACTAGCCAGACAAAGAAGAAAAGAGAGAATAATCAAATAGATGCAATAAAAAATGATAAAGGGGATATCACCACCAATCCCACAGAAATACAAACTGCCATCAGAGAATACTATGAACACCTCTATGCAAATAAACTAGAAACTCTAGAAGAAATCGATAAATTCCTGGACACATACACCCTCCCAAGACTAAACAAGGCAGAAATGGAGTCAAATCTCTGAATAGACCAGAAACAAGGTCTGAAATTGAGGCAGTAATTAATAGCCTACTACCCAAAAAAAGTCCAGGACTAGACAGATTCACAGCCGAGTTCTACCAAAGGTACCAAGAAACTGGTACCATTCCTTCTGAAAGAATTCCAGACAACAGAAAAAGAAGGAATCCTCCCTAACTCAGTCTGAGAACAGCATCATCCTGATACCAAAACCTGGCACAACAAAAAGAAATTTCAGGCCAATATCCCTGATGAAAAAATTTTGTTGATGTGAAAATCCTCAGTAAAATACTGGCAAACCGAATCCAGCCACATATCAAAAAGCTTATCTACCACGATCAAGTCGGTTTCATCCCTGGGATGCAAGGCTGGTTCAACATATGCAAATCAATAAACGTAATTCATCACATACATGATTATCTCAATAGATACAGAAAAGGCCTTCAACAAAATTTAGCAGCACTTCAGGACAGAAACCCAATAAACTAGGTATTGATGGAACATATTTCAAAATAATAAAAGAGCTATTTATGACAAACCCACAGCCAATATCATACTGAATGGGCAAAAACTGGAAGCACTCCCTTTAAAAACCAGGACAAGAAAGGATGCCTTCTCTCACCACTTCTGTTCATAGTATTGGAAATTCTGGCCAGTGCAATAAGTCAAGTGAAAGAAATAAAAGGTATTCAATTAGGAAAAGAGGAAGTAAAATTGTCTGTTTGCAGATGACATGATTGTATATTTAGGAAACCTCATCGTCTCAGCTCAAAGTCTCCTTAAGATGATAAGCAACTTCAGCAAAGTCTCAGGATACAAAACCAATTTGCAAACATCACAGGCATTCCTATACACCAATAACAGACTTAAAGAGAGCCAAATCATGAGTGAACTCTCATTCACAATTGCTACAAAGAGAATAACTTACCTAGGAATACAATTAACAAGGGATATGAAGGACCTCTTCAAGGAGAACTACAAACTACTGCTCAAGGAAATAAGAGAGGACACAAACAAATGGAAAAACATTCCATGCTCATGGATAGGAAGAGTCAATATCGTGAAAATGGCCATACACCCAAAGTAATTTACAGATTCAGTGCTATCCCCATCAAGCTACCATTGACTTTCTTCACAGAATTGGAAAAAAACTTCTTTAAATTTCACATGGAACCAAAAGCCCTCATAGCCAAGAAAATCCTAACCAAAAAGAACAAAGCGGAAGGCATCACACTACACTACCTAACTTTAAACTATGCTACAAGGCTACAGTAACAAAAACAGCATGGTACTGGTACCAAAACAGATATATAGACCAATGGTACAGAACAGAATAGGCCTGAGAAATACCACCACACATCTACAACCATCTGATCTTTGACAAACCTGCCAAAAACAAGCAATGGGGAAAGGATTCCCTATTCATAAATGGTGTTGGGAAAACTGGCTAGCCATATGCAGAAAGCTGAAACTGGATCCCTTCTTTACACCTTAGACAAAAATTAAGATGGCTTAAAAACTTAAAAGTAAGACCTAAAACCATACAAACCCTAGTAGAAAACCTAGGCAATACCATTCAGGGTACAGGCATGGGCAAAGACTTCATGACTAAAACACCAAAAGCAATGGCAACAAAAGCCAAAATTGACAAATGGGATCTAATTAAAATAAATAAAGAGCTTCTGCACAGCAAAAGAAACTATCATCAGAGTGAACAGGCAACCTACAGAATGGGAGAAAATTCTTGCAATCTATCCATCTGACAAAAAGCCATTTTCCAGAATCTACAAAGAACTGAAACAAATCTACAAGAAAAAAACAACCACATCAAAAAGTGGGCAAAGATATGAACAGACACTTCTCAAAAGAAGACATTTATGCAGCCAACAAACATATTAAACAAAGCTCATCATCACTGGTTATTAGAGAAATGCAAATCAAAACCACAATGAGATGCCATCTCACACCAATTAGAATGGCAGTCATTAAAATGTCAGGAAACAACAGATGCTGGGGAGGATGTGGAGAAATAGGAATGCTTTTACACTGTTGGTGGGAGTGTGAATTAGTTCAACCATTGTGGAAGACAGTGTGGTGATTCCTCAAGGATCTAGAAATAGAAATACCATTTAACCCAGCAATCCCATTACTAATACCCAAAGGATCATAAATCATTCTATTACAAAGGCACATGCATGCATATTTTTATTGTGGCACTGTTCATAATAGCAAGACTTGGAACCAAACAAAATGCCCATCAATGACAGACTGACTGGATAAAGAAAATGTGGCACATATACACCATGGAATACTATGCAGTCATACAAAAGGGTGAGTTCATCTGGACACAGTGGCTCATGCCTGTAATCCCAGCACTTTAGGAGGCCGAGGCAGGTGGATCACAAGGTCAAAAGATCAAGACCTTCCTGGCCAACATGGTGAAACCCAGTCTCTACTAAAAATACAAAAATTAGTCAGGCGTGGTGGCACACACCGCTACCTGGGAGGCTGAGGTGGAAGAATTGCTTGGACCTGGGAGGCAGAGGTTGCACTGAGTCGAGACTGCACCACTGCACTCCAGCCTGGTGACAGAGCAAGACTCCATCTCAAAAAAAAAAAAAGATGAGTTCATGTCCTTTGCAGCGACATGGATGAAGCTAGAAACCTTCGTTTTCAGCAAACTGACATAAGAACAGAAATCCAAATACTGCATGTTCTCACTCATAAGTGGGAGTTGAACAATGAGAACACAGGAACACAGAGAGGGGAACATCACACACTGGGGCCTGTTGGGGGGTTGGGAGCTAGGGGAGGGAGGGCATTAAGAGAAATACCCAATGCAGATGACAGGTTGATGGGTGCATGAAACCACCATGGCACATGTGTACCTATGTAACAAACCTCCACATTCTGCACAAGTACCCCAGAATTTAAAGTATAATTTTTAAAAAAGTAAACAAGAACATGAAACATAATTTTTCAAATTATTATAAGAACCACAAAGAAAATTTTAAAATAATAATTTGTTGGTGATGCTGTAAGGAAACAGTCACAATCATATTACTGGTTGTATTATTACATATTTTTTAAAACTAAATTAAATGAATCTTCAGTATCTAAGACAGCTAGAGACCTTGGGGCACCAGACTATAAGGAAGCTTGCCAGTGCATTCCTCCAGATTCTACCTGCGTCTTTGTCCCTGAGGATCTGGCTGTGTACCTTTCCTATATTGCTGTAATAAGTCTTAACCACACGTATAACTATATGCTGAGTGCTGAACATAAACTGTTGAGGACTCCCATCATGTGTACTGAGCATTGTGTATTACTTTTGAAGCAGGATTTTAAAAAAAGTATTAAGTATATTAATTTTTAAGAAACAAATAATGAGAAATTCAAATAATTACCTGTACAATAAGAGCATGTCTCCGTAACACATACTTCTGAGATGCCATATGAATAAAGGTTAGGCCTATACAGAGGCTATAGAGAGGTTCATCAGGGTGAGTGCGAAAGGCTTGCACATACTGTCCTGGAAAATGAGCAGTGGTGTCAGACCGTGTAACAAGAACAGAGTTCCTTATTTCTTCACCACTTTTAAGGCTAAACAAACATACTGATTTTAACATATACAAGGTGTACATTCTGTCTTAAATATCAACCAGACACCTATTAGTTTGAATTTTAAAACAATGTATAAAATATAACATAATTAGAAGTTCCCCGTGAATGTATCCTGACCATGAAGATTAATATGAATAACTAAATTAACTTTTTCTAGGCACAGTTACACATTTCCGTGTAAAGTAATACTTCCAAAATAAACAATTTATCATAATAAATAATCGTCTATTTTATGACCTTAAATCTATTTGGAAAGGAATGGAGGATATGTGTTTTGGTGAACATTTTTATAAATTCAGTTGATCTGTTTTATAAATTCAAATGTGGTAGATCATGGAGGTGAGAAGAGGAAAGTTTTGTTTTTTAGACTATGGTGTTGTTTTCCCAAACGTAGCAACTATTTTGTATCCAGTAACAGAATAAGAATTTGGGGATTTATGAATTACATGTATTCCATATATACAATCATCTCATGTCAAAAGCCTAATCATATGAAGTAGGGGAATTTAAGCAAGTTTTTCTCATAAAGGAATAAGATATAATATATCACATAGATTAAAACTCTATTCCTTCTGGCTTCTATTCTGGAAGGAATGGCACCACTGAATCTCTTAGGCAGCAAAGATGGTAGACTGCCATTTGTCTATCATTTTAACCTTTTGTAAAAGTTTCTAATATAGGAAAATAAATATTTATATTTTCTTAATCTGAAAAAATTCCACAAAGCAAACACAAAAGAGGAGTGTTTCAACATCTGATGTTTGAGGTTACCGGATGAACAATTAGAAAAACACCAGCCATATACAAAGAATCATGAAAGTATTAAATAGCCAAAAACCATAGTTTACTCATAAGATCTAAATCTGGCAAACCAGCTTTTAGGCAGAACATACATGCCTAATTTTAAGTTTAAAGATTTGGTTAGGTATTTTTCCACTTGTTTGCTTCTTAACTTTTTTTTAAAGGAGAGTCTGCATATAATACTTATTTACTTCTGATTCCTTATTACAGAAATTCTTTATTATAAATGATTAATGACGTTTTCTTGAGTTTAATTAGAATTAGTAAGCATCGCATAAATAAATCTTAATATAGACTTATCTCCTAAAGGAATGAACTTTCAGCAAATCTTGAATATGTTTTGCATTATAGCAAATTAAAATCAGGTGGCAAAAGCATCCATAATTAATGAAAATCATTTTAAAAATAAATAGGCCTAAGCAGGGAGAATTGACCTTTAAAATGAATTATAAGACCTATATAAGCCTTTTACAACCAAAGCTTAATAAGAATAAATATTAATATTAGTAATGACCATTTTTGCTATTATATCCACTTACTATATGTGCCAGGCACTGTTTTAATTTCTCTATATTGACTCAGTTAATTTTCACAATACTCTACAAAGTAGGTCCAACTATTATCTCCATTTTAGAGATAAACAAACTGAGGCAGGAGGAGGTAGAATAATTTGTCACAGTGGGGCTGCTAATTAACCCAGACAGTTCCACTGCAGAGGCTAGGCTCTTCGCCACACTATTTATGCTTGACAAAGTCACGTGCCAGGACACTTACCAAGCGCATGCTTAAAACTACCAGATACAAATGCATTGTGTCCGTTTAAGACACATAGGGCATGATTTTCTGGGTTTTTCAGCATCAAACGAAGACAGAAGCGATGATGTCGTACATCTTGGGAGTGCATGGTAACTTGATTGAAAATGTTCCAGAGCTGGGGTTTATTGACATTTTCCATTACCATTATCCTAAAATTGCAGGAAGAGGGTGAAGGGTAAAATAATGTAAAAATCTTCCTGATTCTAAAAATAAAACCCTTCAGTGCTGTCCTACCAGCACTGAAATGTACTACCCTCCAACAAGGAAAAGCAGACAGTTTCAATCTATTTAAAGCAAAACTCTCCTACGCAATGAAAGATTTTTTCCCAGAAAACGCTGCTTAAGTTAGTATTTCTACATCTTATTTCTACTTTCAACAGAACTTTTAAACTAAAACAGAAGCAAGTGGCTTAGGTTTCACTTTTTCTCTCCCTGCCCACTATAGCTGCAGTACTGAATAATAACTCATAATATTTGCCAGGCATTGTTAAAAGGCTTTATATATAACTCCTTTAACCTTTATTATAACCCTAAGAGATCACAGTATTATGATATCCTTTTATAAGTGGAGACTGTAGCACTTGAAATTACCTAACTAGCCTAAGGTCACACAGCCAGTAAGTGTCAGGGCTGGGATTCGAACCCAGAAAGTCTGGCCCTAGAGTGAATGCTCTCATATACTGCCTTTGACAATCACCAACGAACTGAATTAAACAGTTTATTGTTTAACAGTACAACCAAAAATAAAGTAGCTTCTAATCAAAGTAAATATACTTACTCTATTAAAGAATCTAATTGAAATAAATAACTGGGAAGTCACCTGATATAGTTGTATGCCTTTCTGAAATTTTTGTCCAGAATTGCAGCAGACAGACCAAAGTACTCTAGTTCTTTGCGTTTCTGCCTGTCATCGTAAAATGAATAATATTCCAATGAAGAATCTACAAGCAACTCAGCCTCTTGAAATCGGGATAGGTCACATAAGGAGTATATGGCCTTCAACAGAAGGTTCCACCAGTCATCCTTTGTCAAGACACTTGTGAGCACAGCAAATATTGCTAAAATGAGACCAATGAAAACCAGTTAGGACACTGTATTTCCAGAAACAGCAGTATTAGAAAAATTCACATCATCAATTTTAAGAGAAGCTTAATAACCATGAGCCTACATTGTTGCCAGTGCTCTCCTGACAAAGATGAGAAGGGGTAGTTGGTTGCTTACACTCCTTCAATACTACCCCTTTCTACTCTTCCAGTTTAACAATCTGCAATGCCAGGCATCTGAATCTGTTCTCTACAAGTTCCAGCTAATCCCATCTGCATTTCTCCATGCTGGCGAGGATATATCTCCTCCAGGGCAGAATAAGTTTACTTTCTATGAATACAGTCCCATAAAGAAGCAGTCACCAACCTTTTTGGCACCAAGGACCAATTTCATGCAAGGCAATTTTTCCATGGACCAGGGGTGAAAAGGATGGTTTCAGGATAATTCAAGCACATTGTATTTATTGTGCACTTTATTTCAATTATTATTATGTTGTAATATACAATCAAATAATTGCACGACACCAAAATGTAGAATCAGTGGGAGCCCTGAGCTTATTTTCCTACTACTAGACAGTCCCATCTGGGGGTGATGAGAGAGAGTGACAGACCATCAGACATTAGATTCTCATAAAGAGCGTGCAACCTAGATCCCTCGCGTGGGCAGTTTACAATAGGGTTTGCGTTCCTATGAGAATCTAATGCTGCCACTGACCTGACAGGACAAGGAGCTCAGGTGGTGATGTTCGCTTGCCCACCCACTGCTCCCCTCCTGTGCGGCCCAGTCCCTAGTCGGCCACAGACTGGTATCAGGATTGGGGACCCCAGTGATAGAGGGTTATGGACATACAGGCATTCAAATGTTTGCTCAGCAAATGATTTCAAATTCGTACTTTGAGAATCAAGTTGTTCTTTATCTTTTTCTGATCTCAATTTTCTCTGCCTTAAAATGTCTCTTTAACAACCTCTTTCTCTTCCTTAGTTCTTTGTAAAAAGCCTCCCTTTTAAGTATCAAAAGCCATAAAAAATTTTACTGTCTTTGATCCAATAATTTTCCTTCTGAGAATCTATCCTAAACAATCAAAATATGAACAAATCTGTGTGTATGAAAATGCTACTACATTATTGGTTATAAAGGAAAATTATCAAAAGTGATCATAGGCCAAAAAATAAGAAAATGATTAAATTATGGAATGTAATAACCTTAAATATAATAACTATGAAGAGAACAGAGCAAGATGATAAAATATCTATGAGAAAACATAAAGTGAAAATATTAGCGTACGAAGTTTCATGTAATACAAATAGGCTTAGTTCATCCTATCCTGGTACACCAGTGTAATGTGATCCTCATCATGATAAAATTTAAAACAACAAAATTTAAGAGCCTAAGAAAAACTAACCATGAACCTCCAATGAGGAATCACTGAATGAAAACAGGCAGATCACATAAAAAGAAAAATATAACATAAGGAAACATGGTTCAAAACAAGCTGCAGAGGTAGAAGCTGTCATCTTTTAAAGTTGTATTACTTGAGACTGGGTCACAGCAACTTATTTTCAGAGTTTCTGTGACTATTGCTACAGTTGTTAAAAATTATCTAATAGAGAATGGAATATATTTAAGTGAAGTCTCTGGACAAATCTATACTGTCATCTACACAAATTTCTTAAAATATATTTTCTTTTTAAAAAGTAAAATGAAAAGTTTTGTTTTACTTCTTTCACAGATCGAAGCAGATGCTTTCCTTTTTAAGTATTTACATTTAGCCTTTCCTTTTTAACACCAAATGTGTTTATTACCCTTGAGAGATTTAGATTAGGATATTTCATTTAATTTGAAAAGGATATATTTTCAGTTATAGTACTGTCCAACGTTACTTCATGAGTCTTTTTCAATTAAACCACATTTTATATAATATAATGCAAATGAAGTAATTACCTTTTGCATCACAATTTGCTGACTCTTGGTCATTGCTGTCTGATATTTTGTCTCTCGATACTTTAATAAGATAGAGATGCCTCTCTCCAGATTTGGAACTCGATATCAAACAGACTTGGGCTCGATTCATTGCCACCTGAATTCAAGATGAAAATTTCAGATTTTTTAAATGATAATTTTTTTGTTTAAAGTCTTGCTATGTTAGCTCAGGCTGGATTTGAACTCCTAGGCTTAAGCAATCCTCACACCTCAGCCTCCCAAGTAGCTGGGACCACAGGCATATGCCACCATACCCAGATCTAAAGAATAATTTTCTAAAGAAAACCTATGGGTCACAGGTGTCACAAATGTGACTGAAAGCTCCCTTAGTAAAAAAAAAAAAAAAAAAACCAAATTACTACATTAAAAAACTAAATTAGAAAGAACTGACTTTTTTTTTCTTACCAAAGGAATTTTGCGTCACATTCCTCGCCTCAGAAAGAAAAAAAGCAATTCACATTAACATTATAACATGTACACATACACACCCCAGAGATACACCCACAGAGCTACCTCCCTGCAAATAAGCCAGACTCAGAAAGAATATTAGATCTGGAAAATAGTTTTGCAAAGTGAGTAATTTTGGCTCACAGTACTGTCTACTGGGCGCATATCTGATAGCACTATGGTGCTCACTTTTCTAAATATGTACTAGGGAAGATTTTCACTTAAGCTGTTGTCAAGAACTTTTAGTCATATGCCAATAAACTCTAGCTTTTTTGTTTTTATCGGATTTTCACTTTTAGAGTCTGAGTTTAATGTAGTAAAACAATTATAAAGTAGTATAATCTATGTTTAAATAAAATAGTAAACATTTAAAAAGTCATCAAGGCTAACATAAAGAAAGATCATTACCCACCTTTAAAAGCATGGCTAACATAGTTAGTAAGGTATCCACATAACCATACATTTTTCCTTGTGAAAACAATAGAGTAGAACGATGAAGCAATAACTTCAGTTCCTAAACAAATAAGCACAAGATAATGAGCCTAACAAGATTCCTTTTCCATAAATTGTTTTATTTGCATAGAAACATTTTTAAAAACGAAACTTTAAGAACATTTGCATTTTTCAGAATTAAGTGCCAGTATTTTAAAAACTACAATTTATAATAAGTGGCTAAACAACCTAACACTTAAAATTATTTTTCAAAAACACCGAATTTAATACACTAAAATAAAATTTTGGATGTAAGCTATAGAGACATCCTTAACTGAGGAGAAAGTTCTAAAATATAATGTACCAAGAAAAACTTCCCTCTATGTGACATGGCCCACCTGTTGTGCAGCATTTGCATCCTGTGCTAAAGTATCTGGATCATACATTGGTTCCAGAGCTTCCAGAGCTTTCTCAGGCCGGCCCAGCTGCTGCTGAAGGGTAGAAAGTGAAATCCTTGCATCCAAATGGAGTGGGGCCAGATCAACCACCTTGCCGTAGCTTTCGGCAGCTCGCTCCATATAGCCTAAGGCTTTTAAACATTCTAAGACGATTTTAAAAAAAGCGTTAAGTATGAACTACAGATTTGTAAACTGGCCAAAGTGGCCTTTCCATTTGAAAAGAAATATAGCAATATAAAAAATTATAACAAAAAATGAATATGTATTTCTAGTACTCTGAAACATCTATCCCTAATCTCTATCAATCAATCAGTCAATCTCTCTAATTAAATTGCTATAAGTAGTAATCAGTGTATACATATAATTTTGGGTTCTGCTTTATTCATTGAGCATTAAACACTGACTTCATTGGCATTTTGAATGGTTACATAAAAATCAAATTTTTACTCTAATAAATAATACTGCAGTAAACATCTTCACATATATAAACCAGAGCACACAATTGGCAGACCAGTGTAACCCAAAGTTGTGTTTTATTAGGCCACAATGCTTTTAAAAACTATTACCATCCTATATTTCCTAAAATTAGGATTTTAATAAAATCCAGGGTACCAGAGTCTTTTGAAAATTCTGTATTTGGCACCAGTGGGTGCCCCATTCCCACATGGCACATCAGTCTAAGCAGAGAAACTGCCCTTTAGAAAGGGCTCGTCAGTTCCCACCTCTCCCTAGCATTCTCTCTCCCACTTCACTCATTTGTGTTACATGCCAGGCTCCCAAGTTTTGTGATCCTCAATATAAACTACTTCCTCTCATCCCACTCAATTAGTTCCTGGTACATTCTCACAAGTGAGGATACTGGGCCCTATTTCTCAAACTTTACACCCAATCAATCAATACATTCAATCATTTAAACCTGAAAATGAGTCTCTGTAAGCATTTCTTCTTTCCATCCTTTTCACTGCACTGGATCTCCTAAATATTTCTGCCTCCAGTTGCTATCTCAAATCTCTCCTGACCATCATCTTTAGGTTAAATTTTGATAATAATGGAAGGACATTAATATGAATGGACCATCACAATGACATCACAATTTCTTACATTTACTTATTTTTCACTTTTAAAAACATTTTGTTATTATGCTACAAGCACTGAATTCCTCTAATTATATATATACTGATCCCAAATTTCTTTATGATTTTTAGATGACTCTGAGATTTTACCTTCCATTCATCTCAAGCTACATGGGCTCAAAATGGAAATAGCATTTAACAGAATCATGATTAAATAGGATTTTTAAAGTGTACATCATTAGTAACAAAGGAGCAGTTTCAATATCACAGCCCTAATTAGAAAGGCAATAAAAACTCAAGTAACCTGCTCATGTCTTTAAAATTCAAATCTTACAAATAATGCAACTTTTTATGACGGTATTACATTTGTATTCTTATTCATTCATCTAAACAGAAAATTATTATCTTAATCATTAAGTGCTCTCTTTCCTAGATCATATCTGTGATGTGAGTGTGCTATTACCCCAAAATGCCAATCAATGCTTCTCTAGCTATAGCGAACTTTCTGTCATCATGTAAAACTTAAGAGCCACTGGAGCTTTCTGCCATCACGCAGAATTTGAAACTAAGACTATTCGATTTTTAATGTGTCTTTCATGTTGAATCAGTAATACTTTTTGCTTTCATGTATTTCTTCAAAAGATGTAATCATGTTCTTAAGCTATCTTTTCTAGTCTAAATCATTCACTTCAGATTACTGTGGACTTAGGCACAGTGTAATAAATGGCTGATAAAACCCAATTTTGAGCATGGGTGGCTCAAAGAGCATGAAAAATATATTAATTTTTCCCAAAATAACATATTAAATATAAGTCTGTAAAACCTCTTCAAAAGTAGATTTTGCCCCCAAGTCTGACAATCCTGTGCTGGAAACCAGAGCCTATGGTTAAGACAGGTTCAAGACAGGCATTTAAGGGACATGTGAGTCCTACTTCACTCTGGTATCATTAAGTAAATCGTTCCTCCAAAGCATTAGTGATGGAGAAATCACTTAGTAGCCTAGCAAGACAATTTAAAATACTGACTTTCAAAAACTGCCCTGAAACCAGAAATACTTGCACTTAAAAGTGTTACCTGCATGACGAAGCCAAACTACTGCAAGGTTGTATCTTTCAGAGCAAACAAGAGCACTGAGGAGGGGAAGTGCAGAGTTATATTCACCAACATCCAGAAAAGCTTCAGCAACATCTAGGTATAGGTCTCCCATATCTTCAGGATTCTGTTCTACTAGTGTTGTCAAGAGAGGCTAGACCACAAATAAAAGCCCAAAGTTAAACATTTATTACAAACCTGCACATCTATCTGTAGCTTTTCTCCCCCGCCCCCCAAGGATGAAGTCTTACCCTGTCACCCAAGCTGGAGTGCAGTGGCACAATCCTGCTCACTGCAACCTCCACCCACTGGGTTCAAATGATTCTCGTGCCTCAGTTTCCCAAGTAGCTGGGATTACAGATGTGCACCACCAGGCCGGGCTAATTTTTGTATGTTTAGTTGAGACGGGCCAAGCTAGTCTTAAACTCCTGGCCTCAAGTGATCTACCGGCCTCAGCCCCCTGGGTTCAAGTGATTCTCATGCCTCACCTTCCCAAGTAGCAGGGATTATAGATGTGCACCACCAGGCAGGGGTAATTTTTGTATGTTTAGTTAAGTTGGGGCCAGTCTCAAACTCCTGGCCTCAAGTGATCTACCTGCCTCAGCCTCCCAAAGTCTACAGCTTTCTTTTTAACCTACATATCAGTTATATGAGGCAAACTGAAAAGGAGCAAGGCTTAACAAAACCAGCTTTATATAGTCATTTTTCTGTTCACTTCTGCATCTTTATTTTTAAAAACTCATACCCATTAAACACATTTTGTGGATCTGTTTAGAGGCAGGCAATGCAAGAACTAAGACACAGCTGATCTGTTTTGCTCTTCCTCTAACCAACACCCGTGCCTCAGGGCTTCTGTGTTTTTGGAAAGCTGTTTCCTTAGATATCCCCATGGTTTACTTCCTCACTTCCTTCAGGTCATTATTCAAATGTCACTTTTTTTTTTTTGAGACAGGGTCTGCAGTCTCTACCTCCTGGGTTCAACCAATCCTCCCACTTCAACCTCCCAAGTAGCTGGTACTACAGGTGTGCACTACCACACCCAGCTAAATTTTTTGTATTTTCTGTAGACATAGGGTTTCACCATTCAGGCTGGACCTGAATGCCTGAGCTCAAGAGATCTGCCTGCCTAAGCCTCCCAAATGCTGGGATTATAAGTGTATGCTGTGGCACGCAGCCAAATGTCACCTGATCCCCTATTGAAAACTGCAGCTTTCCCCTGCTCCCAATATTCCTTATTTTCTTCCTTGTTTGATTTTTTTTCCCAGAACACTTAATCACCAGACAATGTCCTGTATGTTATGTATTTATTTTATTCGTTATCTAATCCCATTAAAACAAAAAAGACATCCTGACTCATGAGGGTACGGATTTATATATTTTACTCAATGTCTTATTCTAAGGTCCACAAAGTAGATATAAGTCCTTTTTTTTTTTTTAACAACAGTATACTTGGTCCAAAGTCAGCAAATAAGAATAGCTGTCAGAATTATTACCAATGATCTAACTGTCTAAGGACAATCTCAAATTCTGATCTTTAGATTGTTATTTTAAAAGAAAAATAAATTACTATAAGCCCAATTCCAAAACAATTTTAGTTTTTATAAGATATTCCTACAAAATTATTTAATGCTTATTGTTACTTCCCTAATTATTAAGAAATGTGAAATTCTAGAGTCAAGTTATAATTTCTTGACATCTAAAGAAAACAGATAGTACATGTGATGAAGTATCTCAAGTGCAGATCTTGTTACATACATTAAGTGGTTCAAGGATGTTGAGATGTACAAGGCAGACCATCAGCTTCACTGTGATATCTATTGGCACGCCATCAGGTATAGTGCAGGTAACATTCTCAGGAGCTGGGGAATAGACAGACAAGAAGCAGTTCCTATATGCAAACTTAAAATATGTATCTTCTATGTAAGATCTCATTTATTTCATTCAAAGCAAATGATTCCACAGTCAATTCTTAATGTGGCCAATTCCATTAACAAGTTCTTATATCTCTTTCAGTCTGTCCTTTGGCAGCAAGTATGCTTCCTATTCTATTTCTAATACCTTACATACTTATCCAAAACATACTCTCACATCTTCTACTAAACTACAGAGAACTAAAATGACAAAAACAATGAGGATGTATGAACCTTCTTTTTTTTTTTTTTCTTGAATTGAAAGGTCTCTCTCTCTTTTTTTTTTTGAAATGGAGCCTTGCTCTGTCGCCCAGGCTGGAGTGCGGTGTTGTGATCTCAGCTCACTGTAACCTCCACCTCCCAGGTTCAAGCAGTTCTCTGCCTCAGCCTCCCAAGTAGCTAAAATCACAGGCACCCACCACCATGCCTGGAGAATTTTTGTATTTTTAGTAGAAATGGGGTTTCATCATCTTGGCCAAGCTGGTCTTGAACTGCTGACCTCGTGATCCACTCGCCTCAGCCTCCCAAAGTGCTGGGATTACAGGCATGAGCCACTGCACCCAACTGAAAAGTCTCTTTTTAGTGTTCACTAGAAATAGGCTAAGAAAAGGATAAAATAATACTATGTTGTTTTCTAAAAACTCATTACAGCAAAATAATTTTTAAAGCCCTGGGAAATTAAAGGAATTTTTATGCACATTTAAAGTATTTTGCAAAGTTTAATAAGTTTACATGTTATATGCAAATAATACACTATGTTATATAACGGATTTAAGTATCCAAGGATTTTGGTATAAGGGGTTTCCTGGAGCCAATCTCTCATGAAGACTGAGGGGAGACTATATTGCCTAAAATTACCAAGTTATAGAAGGATATGGACAAGTTTAATTAAAAGACTTTTTATCACTGAGCTCTGAGACAATAACTGATATTAGAAATCCAGTTGAGATATTCAGTCTGCTCAAAGAGAGAATTTACCTACCATATAAATTTACTCACACTAAGCCCTAAGCTCCATGAGGGCAAGAACCATGTCTAACTCAAGGCTATATCCACAGCATATTTCTTCTGTGGACAGTAACTAAGGTCTGAGTGAGGACTAAACACAATGCAGTAATTTTAATGAGCCTTTGACTTTACTAAAATGGGATTCTATCTTTATCATGTATGGGTTCTATATTCCAACTCCATCACTTTAATTTTCTTTCTAAAATGCTGTTTGCTAACAGTCTGAATGTTGGTGTCTCACCAAAATTCCTGTGTTGAAACCTAACCCCCATGGTGAAGTTATTAAGAGGTGGGTCTTTGGGAGGTGGTTAGGTGGATGGGATTTGTGCCCTCGTAAAAGACGTCTCTTGTTTCTTACTTTTGCCACGTGAGGACACAGCAAGAAGGCACCATCTATGAGAAAAGGGCCCTCACCAGACACCAAATCTGCTGGTGCCTTGGACTTCCTAATCTCCAAAACTGTGAGCAATAATTTCTATTGTTTATAAATTACCCAGTCTCAGGTCTTTTGTTATAGAAGTCCAAACAGACTAAGTCCAATAAAATATATCTATATGTTTTAACTTTCAGCAAGAAAGGTAACTTATAGTGTATGAAATACTTTAAATCTCAGCATAGGCCTTAAAGATACAGTATGTACAGATGTGTAAGTCAGAAACCTTGCTTTCATATCAAATCACAAAGTAAAACACAACCTTTGTTGAATACAAGATTATGCCTAAAATCAAGTGATTCAGGAAAGCTGAAATTTTGTTGCAGGCAGATGGAAACAAACAAACAAAAAATAGTCACAATCTCAGTATGAGACAAGGCCAACTACATTTGAAAAGGTACGAAGGTCACTTCATAATGCTACAGGGCAGTGCTACTCAAACTATAGTCTGGGACCTGTGCAGGTCCACAAACTGTTACCAGTTCAATCAGGTAAGTATGGAGATTGAGAGTATTTAGATTAGTATTTAGATTAGTAAATCTAAATTAGTATTTAGATTGAGATATTTTAATGGCAATTTGATAATTCCAAGGAAGGTAATATATATATGTATAGCCCCTACAGCTTACATATTATTAACTAACATTTAACAACGCTAACTTTTAAAAAGCTTGTCTTTGTGTCACTGATACTATATTCTCCTGAATTCTCATCAAGTCTTTCACATTTAGAAGAATTTAAAAATGTGACCGTCAATAGGCAATACAATATCTACCAATAAATGGTCTCATTTTTAAAAATGCATACTAGAAACTACCCTTGCTTACTTCAGATTTGTTTTATTCTCCCAGTCTTTTGGACATATCTTTTTTTTTTTTTTTTTTTTTTTCCAAGACGGAGTTTCACTCTTGTTACCCAGGCTGGAGTGCAATGGCGCGATCTCGGCTCGCCGCAACCTCCGCCTCCTGGGTTCAGGCAATTCTCCTGCCTCAGCCTCCTGAGTAGCTGGGATTACAGGCATGTGCCACCATGCCCAGCTAATTTTTTGTAGTTTTAGTAGAGACGGGGTTTCACCATGTTGACCAGGATGGTCTCGATCTCTTGACCTCGTGATCCACCCGCCTCGACCTCCCAAAGTGCTGGGATTACAGGCTTGAGCCACTGCGCCAGGCTTGGACATATCTTTTTCTTTAAAGTTATTTCATCAACTCTAAGCTGCCAGATTTCAGATCTAAGATGCACCATTATTTTGCATACTAAAAAATAAAAAAGGCACTACTTAAACTCTAACCTGTTGTTGATTTATGTTCTAGGGAGACAGGGAGGGAGGAACGGAGGATAAAATATATTAAACAACAAAATGATTATATATACAATTAAAACTGGAACAGAACTTAGCATTTCTAATATTTTTCAAAACAAAGGACAGCAATAATTTTAACACAATTAAGAAGAAAAATCTTAATCAGAAATTCACACCACCCTGATCACTCAACAGTCCCAACCATAGCCTGTGATCTGCTCCTGCTCATCCAAGCAGTGCTCCCACACCCTGTGACTCAGTATGGATACACTCCCCATGGTGTCTGCTTAAACTGGGCCTCTGTAAACATCTTCTGATCCTTCTATACTGCCTTTCTCTATTTTCCCATAGCATCAACTGTGCTACAGAAATTATCACACAACTCTTAAACTGGATACATTTCATTTGAACGCCTCTTCCACCTCCACTTCCTTGAGAGAAGCAAATGTTATACTCATCTGTGTATTCTCCACACACCCAGCAGTCCTTTACAAGAAACTTATTGAACTGAGTTTCCCTTCCTCAACAACTTTCCACTTCAATATTTATCTGTCCCATATCTCACCTTGGGCTTACTCTCTATGAATTAGCACAGGCTGGCCTGTGTAAGTGAATTACTACTCACCATTAGGATGGATCATATTTTAAATAACAGTTTTTGTTTCCGAATAATTATGCCTTAGCCCAAAGGATTACATAATGACAGAATTTTTAGGCATCATGACAGGCCACGGAGGGAGTTGTTCTGAAGCACGCAGGACTCAGTACCAACCCACTTGCCCCTCCTCAGAGTCCATCAAAATCCTCAGAGGGTAGAGGCTGAAGGTACCATACAGGAATTTTCTTACAAGAGCATGGTTATATACTCTGCTCATAAAGATCAATTTTGCTACAACTTAATATAGGGTCTTGAATGTTAGTATTTTTACAGAATAGGTTAATGAGTATGGTACAAAGAGACTCTGCAAGCCACACTTAGGTATGACTTTCTAACCAGATCACTAATTATACATTTGAGTTTTCAAACAATGTAGAGTAATCACATTAGTTTCTACTTTTTATGTGAATGCTTAAGCTTAAGGTAGAATTTTTTAAATGAGAGCATTTTAGATCCTATTTGAAAAGTAAATTGCTTTAGCGCTAACGGTTTTTGATAAACTTCTGTAATTTGTTTTTTTCCCTTTAAAAATGAAAAAAATTGTCAGTGAAAAATGCCATGTTCAAATGGACATACTAAAAAATAAAAGGGACTCAAAACAAATTTTTTTAAAGATTACTTATAAGTCAATACTCACAAGATATGAAATCTCTGAGAAAAAAATGCTTCTTGGGAAAATTTATGAGAACATTAACTATCAACTCACCACAGTATGAAATAAATTTTCACTCTAAAACACCACCTTATGACCAAGAGAGGATTATATACACTTTCCTAAGCAGAGGAAACTACAACCTTTATTCTCTTCTGAGGTGCCTTCTTCTGAAGTGCCTTCTTCTGAAGTGCCTTCTTCTGAAGTTTTTTTTTCCAGCACAATTCCAGAAAAATCTGTAATTACCTAAAACAATGGGAAAGAAGAAAGGAAATAATAAAATAGTTACGTATGAAAAACATTTTCATAATGCAAAGATTTGTACAGTCAATTCAAATAATCCCTAATATAAAAATAGGCTATAAAAAGAAAAAGTAAGTCTTTTAAAAATGAGAAACCCTTGATCTTGGACTTCCGAGATAATAAAAAAAGAAAAAAAGAAGAGAGAAACTCTGTGACCCATTAACATTTTAATATCCTATTAACTAATGCAAACTAAATATATATAACTCTTCTATAACAAACCAACCTACCTTGCCCCAACCAGTTTAAGAACTAAATCACAGCAATTCATCTGACTGTTGAGTCCTGCTACCCTGAAGTACACACATACTTGGCACCTGTGATAATGGCAATATTTTTTTATTATGTAACTGCACTTATTTCACACTGAATTGCTACAGAATCTAGAAATCACTTGTTTCATACAGACTTTATATATATACATAACTAAAACGAAGAACTGCCAATTTTTAAGAATTTCTAGAACACAGAAACACATTCAAAACCTAACAGAGAAACACATAAGCATTCCTACCTCCAAAGCTTTGTCATACTGTTTGTTTGAAATATATAGTTCAGCTGCTATGTTAACATCTTCCATGGAGACTAGGCCCTGGTGTTTTGAGAAAGCTTCATCAATTATGTTAATAGCAGAAGTAACATCATTGGCTTCATAGTAACTCCTAAAAAAAAGTAAGTGGCAAAATGGATGAATGTTTACTTAACGTCAATTATAAAACTCATTTCTTGCTTAGGCTATATAACAATGAATGGTGATTTTCATTTTCTTAGAATTTGAGAGAAATATATATTTTCTTAAAATCATAATCAGAACTGATCCAGAAAAAATGTGCAACGTCATTAAAACAGTGTCATAATTTCAAGCATCTCACTCTCCAAAAATCATTCCAGCTCATTCCCTCTGTAATCCAATACCAAACTCTTCTACCTCAACAGATCTACAAAGCATAGGTCCTACCACTTTTTCACCATCACCTGCACCCTTCCTGTACTTACTTTCTTCCCTCTCCATGTGGCCCAACATTATAATTACTCCTTTGCACATATCCTCAGTTCTCTTACCCTGCTGCTCTTCCTTGATTAAAATCACTCAATAAAATTCCAAGCCTGGTTAAAATCCAACTATATCTACTCTTCACTACCACCTGCCCAGCTGACCATGCCAACTGGTCTCACTCTAAATTAATGACCAGTACCCTCAAGCAGGTCTGTGGTACTGATGAGCAGTATTACTAGTTACCTATTTCAGTACTTCTCAAACTTGAATGTGCATATGGATCAACTGACTATCTTGTAAAAACACGTGTTCAGATCTAGTAGAGCTGGGGCAGGCCTGAGATCCTGCATTTCTGACAAGCTTCCAGGTGATGCAAATACTGCCAGTCTGTGGGGCAGTAATGTCCTAGACAACTATTTGACATCTTCTATCTTCAAACCTCCAGCAGTCTCCCAGTCCTCACTCTCAGTTGATGACCTTGCTTGATATTTTTACCAAGAAAAGGGAATCAAATCAGAACATCCCACATATATCCAGCACCTCTATCTTGTTACCAGTATCTTTGGCCGTATCATCTGCCTTCCCCTTTATCAGAGATAAATGATTGTATACATGAAAATAACCCCGAGTTTGATCCCATTCCCTATAATCTACTTAAGGATATTACTCAGGAAACTGCCCCTTCCCTCACAAATCTTCAATGTGTTCCTCAATTTTTGATTACTCCCACCTAAATAAATTGTAATTTTTCTCAACTTAAAAAATTCTCCCATCCCTACAACCCATTCCTCTGCTCCCTTTGCAAATTCCCCCAAAGTTGTCCACCCCTCATACCATCTCCAATGCCTCTCCTCCCATTCTCTTTTTAACCTAATCCAATCAACTTTTCCTCTTCCCCACTCAGCCAATATTTCCAATCAACTTGTTGCTAAATCTGTCAATTCTCAGTGCTCATTTTACATGATCTATCTGTAGTATCTCACACAGATGATCATCCCTCCTCCTTGAAGTGCTTTCTTCAATTAAATTCTAGAACATCACGTTGTTCTCTGTTTCCTCCTACTTCACTTGTCATTTCCTTTTAGTCTTCCTGCTGTTTCTTCTTCTTCCTGACTTCTAAACATTGAAGTGTCGCCCTCTATACCCTTTCCACCTCCCCAACCCACCCTTCATATTCAATATATCAGAAAATCTTGAGAGCTCAGCCTTCAAAACACATACATAATCTGATTACTTCCTACCAGCTTCTGATGCTTCCATCCTGGTCCACGTTACCATTTTCCTTTCTGTGTATCACTATAGTAATTTCCTAACTGGTCTCCATGTTTCTGCCCTTCCACTGTTCAATCTATTCTCAAAAGAGCAGCCAGAATTGATGCATTTAAAATTTAAGTCAGACCATGGCACTTTTCCTCTCAAAACCCTCCAGTGACTTCGAAACTCATTCCGAATAAAAGCCAAAGCCCTTACAATAGCCCAAAAGGGCTAAATGATCTATTCCTGATACCTCTCTGCACTGCTCCCTTAATTCTTCAGCATCCCTAAATAAACTTTGCACATGCCATTTCCTTTACTTGTGATACTCTTCCCTGAATATCTGTTCTCATACCTCCTTCAGTTCACCTTTAGTCAGTATGACCATACCACAGAGAATTAAGTCCGTCTCTAATCATTCTATCTTAAAAATAACACTGCCCATACCTCAAATCCCTATTCCTTTTTCCTGCTTTATTTTTCTTCATATTACTTTATCAACATCTGATGTACTACATATTTAGCTATTTATTTACTGCCTATCACCCTCACTAAGGTTTACAAGAGCAGGGGATATTAAAAAGTTGTTAAATAGTAGCCATCCTGGTTTCCTGTATAGTATCTAGTGCCAAAGATATATTCAATAATATTTCTGGAGGGAAAGTAGGGATTGAAGGGAAAACCTAAACAGAAGTTGCAGTGATAGAATTCCGTGAAGGAAAGACCTTAGTGGCATTGGCAGACTGACAATCATTAATCATATATAATACTCAAAAAAGTATTATATATAATGGAAGTGGAAAACCAATTTACTATATAGGCCACCTAACATTTCACAAAGTCAAAGCCTACTGGACTAACCACTGTGACAACTACAGATTTAACTAACAGCAAATAACCTGGGAAGACCTTCAGTGCTCATGGTATTCCATCAGGGATCAACTTAGGGTTGCCTTCCCTCAACAAATTTCCTAGAAATGCTTTCTAGTAGTCCTGTATAACCCATCCCTGGGAGGGTAAGGGAGAGTTTCACAGCTAAGCATCATTGTGATAAAGGCCATGGGATTAATAGGGTTAACTCTAATGTACCCTGATGGAGATTTTACTCCTAGACCAAAATATAATATGATATCTCTAGAATAAAAAGCATATCACAAGGCACTGCTCAACAAAAATGTTTCCTACTTTGTTTTGCCTTGCAGCATACCAGAGAAGTAAATGCAGTAGGGTATATTTTAGAATAAAATACATACCACCATCAATAACGTGCCAACTGTAAAAGAAAATTTTTATAGTCTTAAAATATTATGTACTGGCTCAAGATAAATAATAAAATAATAATAAAATAAATAATAAAATAATAAAAGACCCTGGATCATTAACATTTCATTGGCACATATGCAATAAAAAATTATTTTTTTAATTGCAAATATACGCAATTTCAACTAAGTTTGGAAACCTGAGAACCTACTCATTTTTTTAGGACATGTCCCATTTTTAAACCTCTGAGCACTTGAAATGTAATCTTATATACACAATTTTCTAAGCAATGACAAAACTGACTTGGAAAAGAGAAGTAATGAAAATTGGGTACAATCTAAACATTCAGGGCTAGGCGTGCTGGCTCACACCTGTAATCCTAGCACTTTGGGAGGCCAAAGCAGAAGAAATGCTTGAGGTCAGTAGTTCAAGACCAGCTTGAGCAACACAGCAAGACCCTGTCTCTACAAAAAAATTTAAAAATTAGCCAGGTGTGGTGGCGTGCACCTGTAGTCCCAGCTACTCAAGAGGCTGGGTAAGAGGATCACTTGAGCTCAGAAGTTCAAGGCTGCAGTGAACTATAAACACACCATTATACTCCAGCCTGGGTGACAGAGCAAGATCCTGTCTCAAAAAACAAAACAATAAAATATATAAGGCAAAACACTTCTCAAACTTCAATGAAAGTACTTTCTATTTCAAATATATGCTTTGATTTGCAAAACAAGATTAATAGGGGTAACTAGATACATTTCGCTCCAAACTTACTTTGCCATATCTCTAGCCAGCTGCATGAAACGTTCACCATCAGACGGAGACAACAGGTTTAAAATACGCCTATAACCATCCATGGCCATTTTATGATCACCCATCTGTTCGTAAAGGCTTGATCGCTCCCACAGATAACGGACATTAGTAGGTTCATATTTAAGCGCTAAAAAGAAAGAAGTACAAATTATTTATCACAAAAAAGAGTGCATAGTATCTGGGTATGATCTATCATCTTCTCAGAAAATTTAATAAGCAAACTAATTCATCAATGTAACGAAGGGAGTTATTCTGAATAAATCTTCACAGGAACTCTTGACTAGGTTTGATGTAAGACCAAATAGAATCTGAATCTCAATAGTAATCTTCTTAATGTGGTCAATCTAGTCAGATGTTAATCCTCAAGGAACAGCTTAAAACCAACACTGATCTTGGTGAGAAACTGAAGGTACTGTTCATCTACCAACTTTTGTGTTGTATTATCTCACAACATTAAAAAAGTCCCTGATAAACATGAGAACAGAGGAACCCCAAATACCTACCTCTAGAATAAGAGACAACAGAAACAAATTTATTTCGGCCAATATCACACTTGAATAGCAAATGCAATTATCAAAAAACCTATTACGTCACATCTTGTCAAAGTGAAAAAAAATTTTTTTAATTACCTTTCGTGTAGCAAAAAATAGCCTGCTTAATATTGTCTTGTTCCAGAGACATTTCTGCCAGTCTAACCCATTCTTCTGTGTCACTGGGATTTAAATGTGCAGCAATCAACTCAAACTGCAATGATTTTTCCATGTCACCTTGGTCCTCATATATCATGGCAAGAGTAGAGAATGGCTCATAAGCCAGAGGAGCTATAATGAATTAAAAAAATTAATTCCATTGGCTGAGAGAAGAGGTTTGAGTTGATGTCAATCCCCTGGTTCAAACTGTGTGTCTTTTTAAAAATACCTAAATTCTTCAAATCACTCTGGCAAAATTATACAAACTGTTTAAGGCAAGTTAAAATAAATGCTAGTTATATCTGCTTTATTTTCACACATTTTTAGCAATTTTAAAGCATTGCTTTCTCTAAGCAAGGTATAATTTCATGAAAAATTCTAATCTCTACATCTTCCTCATGAAAATCCCCCTTTGCTCAGGATAAACATGGCTCAGTATCAGCAGGTTCATCCCAATAAACCCCAGTCACATCAGTGGCGCTGAATCTTCATGATTTAGCTCCCACACCAAGGAGTATGGTATGAATGAATAGATGATACCTAAGCAGCAGCTAAACGGATATCAAAGTGACTGGCTAGTCTACATTTCTGAAATATTGTTTCTGAAACAAAATTCAAAGATTATGAGGTATTAAAGTCAAAGATTTTTGTCAAAAACAATTATAAACTAAAATAAAGGAACAGATAATATTGGAAAGTAGGAACCAAATGAAACATACTAAAGGAAAAAATCTGTTTAATCTTAAGCAGTAGCCTCAAATTCCCTAATGAAAATCCAGGAAATTATAGTAAGACTTCTAAAAGGACCCTAGTCTAACCAAAAAGAAATGCCAAATTATTGAAAAGATAAAAGTTCACTGTATTATACAGCTACCCAAACCACTCTGCAGGGCAAAATTTGGCAAAATATCAAAGAAACAAAATAATAAATATAAGTAGTTAAAAAAAAAACACTAACGATATCATTCAATATGCCCAAGATGCACCATTTAATTGACAGATAAGATGACAAGTTTAAACTTCTTTTACCAAAAAATAGATTAACATAATCTAGTACTGCAAGATCTAGAAAACGAAAGGAAAAAAGAAAGCTCAAGTGGCTTTAACATAATGTATTTGCCATATTTAAAAAACACTGACAACTCAAAAGTCTGAACCCCTCAACTGAAACATTAAAAACAAAAACAAAAAAGGTAACTGTGAAAATTCAACAAATATTAATCTCATTGAATCATACTCTGAGATTTTCATTTTCTTGTGAAAAATGGCAAGTACCATTACCACAATTACCCTTAAGCTTCTGAACATATTTTACAAACAATACTGTGAGGTGTTCCTCCATTTAAGTCAGACTCTTAAACTGCTATTATCAAAAAAGTTCCCACAGAAAACACCTTGTCTTATGATTTCCATGCACATCAATATTGCCTCTTCACGTTCTCCTCGAGCAAAACGAATGTTGGCTTCACCCATGAGACCTCTCAGAGCTCTGGGAAGTTTACTCCGAGGCCTCTTCTCCTGTATGGAAGAAAAATGACAGATTAAAACATAGTGAAGTCTTAGATTTCAATTCCAACCATATTAATATAAAACATAATAAAACTGAAATTTTCCTTTAAACATTTTCAGTTTTTTGAAACTCAGAATTAAATGGCTGCAATTTTAATTGACTCTTTAACATTAAAGTTTATATTGCAGGAAAAAGTCTAAAACTGGCCATACGTGGTGACTCACTCTTGTAATCCCAGCACTTTGGGAGGCTGAGGCAGGTGGATCAATTGAGGCCAGGAGTTCAACCAACCTGGCCAACATGGTGAAACCCTGTCTCTACTGAAAATACAAAAAATTAGCCAGGAATGGTGGTACATGCCCACAATCCCGGCTACTCGGGAGGCTGAGGCATGAGATTCACTTGAACCTGGGACACACAGGTTACAGTGAGCCAAGATCATGCCACTGCACTCCAGCCTGGATGACAGATCAAGACTGTCTCATTAAAAAAAAAAAAAAAAAAAAGTCTAAAACACAATTGCAGGGAAAAAAAAGTGGTTAGGAGCTACTAAATTACTAATTAGAATAAGAAATGTAGAGCTGGATGCTGCAAAATGGATTTATATGCCAGGATTATGATGTAATCTACTGAAGATCCCCCTTCTTTAAAATTTATCTACTCAGAATGAACTTGTTTAAAAAAGTATCAAGTTATAGTATGTACATGGACATTTTTTTTTTAAGACAGGGTCTCACTCTGTTGCCCAGGCCACAGCACAGTGGCGTGATCTCAGCTCACTGCAGCCTCTACTTCCTGGGCTCAAGCATCCTCCCACCTCAGGCTTCAGAGTGGCTAGGACCACAGGAGCGCACTACCAAATCTGGATAATTTTTAAAAAAATTTTGTAGAGACAGAACCTCACTATGTTGCCTAGGTTGGTCTCAAACGTCTGGGCTCAAGCAATTCTGCCTCAGCCTCCCAAACTACTGCAATTACAGGTATGAGACACTGTGCTTTGCCAGTATGGACCTTTTAATAGCAAAACCAAAGTCCATTCTGACATATGCAATAATTAAGGTTTTGTCTGTGTGTGTGTGTGTGTGTATGTGTGTTAGATCTTACCTTTCTGGCATTTTTTTTTTTTTTTAATAAATGGCCCAATTGGTTTAAATGAGCCATTTTGCTTTGACTTTTTATTTATTTATTTATTGTATTGCACTTATTTTTTTGAGACAGAGTCTCATTCTGACACCTAGGTTGAAGTGCTGCAGCCTTGACTTCTCCAGGCTCAGATGATCCTCCTTCCTCAGCCTCCCGAGCAGCTGGGACTACAGGCACACCACCACACCCAGCTATAATTAAGATTTCACATAAAAATTATCTAACAGGAAACATAATAAACAAATAACAATAGTTGTATCATAATATTTCCTTTCATACAGTTCGAATAGTTTCCCAGATTTCTTTTTCAGTTACTATGTCACAATTATAAATTTCTTTTTCAATTACTATGTCACTTTCTTCATTGTTTATAAATACCAAAGGAACAATTTACTTTCATCATTTTCTTGGTTTCACGATTGAGAACCATCTCCAATACAAATACATCGCCAGCAGTAGGTTGCTCAGATGTTTCTTCCTCCTCCTCCTCCTCTTCTTCCTCTTCCTCCTCCTCATCTTCATTCTCTCCAAGCATGGAAGCAAAGACTTTGTGAACTGACTTACTCACTCCATCTGAAGTTTCTCCTGAAAAAAAAGACGTTGATGTTGGGGGAAAAAAACACTGTAGAATTCTCAATGAAAAACAAGTATTTCCCGAGTATAAATTTTTACCCCAGTAATGCCAAATTTCAAAGTAAAAAACAGTAAATGAACATCCTCAAAAAACAAATCAAAGATGAAAGTTATCACAAAGTCATGTATTTTATTCCGTTGGAATAGCTGACTCATCCTTTAGGCTGCATCCAGATTCATAGGCAAAATTAACTGAAATATCAGAAGCACATACAATAATAGGAAAAAAAGCAGAAGAATTATTAAGACATAGACCTAAGAACTAAACAAGCCTGGTAGTACGGAACCCTGGTGGTATAGCATAGTGGTTAAAAGTGAGGGCTCTAGGGCCAAGCTGTCTGGTTCCAGACTTAATCTATCACTAGCTATATAACTTCAGGAAATTACTGAAGCTCCTCTATACCTGTTTCTTTTTGCAAAAAGCGTTAATAATTTATAAGGCTACTTTGAGGACAAAATGATTATGAGTGTGTGTGTATGTGTATACACTTAGAATGCCTAGCATATAGTAAAAACCCATGGAATGCTATTATTAGTATTAAAATAGCTTTATTATTTCAGGACTAAAATAACATGAAAGTAGCTCATTTGTATCTTAGGATACCACCATAGTATAATATAATGATTTTTGAATGTCAATAATGACTTTGAATTATCAAAAAAAAGTTAAGTTCAGAAACCAGTTTTCTGTTAAAACAGAGACATTGCTATTGTTTGAATATCTGTTCTCTCCAAGTCTCAAATTGAAATTTATTCCCCAATGTGCCAATATTAAGAGGTGAGGCCTTAAGACAGACTGGGTCTTAAACCCAATAATAGATTAATCCATTGATGGTTTAATGGGTTATCATAAGAGTGGGACTAATGGCTTTACAAGAAGAGGAAGAGAAACCTGAGCTAGCGTGCTCAGCCTCCCCCTCATGTGATACCCTATATTGTCTTGGGACTCTGGAGAATCTCTACCAACAAAAAGGTCCTCAACAGATGTGGTTCCTCTACCTGGGACTTCTCAGCCTCCCTAACTGTAAGAAATAAATAATTTTTCCTTATAAATTACCCAGTTTCAAGTATTCTGTTACAAGCAACAGAGAACAAAGATAGACATGTAACATATTTCTAAAAAAGTTCCAACAAAATAGTCAAAATTTTAAGTATATATAGATATATATACATGCACATCTCTATATATGCATGTATATATTATAGATATATACATGTATATCTCTATATATGCATGTATATATCTATTTTGTGTTCAAAAACTTTATTTTTTTTTTTTTTGTGAGACAGAGTCTCATCCACCGCCCAGGCCAGAGTGCAGTGGTGCAATCTCAGCTCGCTGCAGCCTCTGCCTCCCAGGTTCAA